GTGAGAGGCTTCACCAGAGACAGAGTGGGGAGCAGAACAGGCAGATCGACGAAGTATACTGCTGAGGGGAGCAGCTGGTGGGCAGGAGAGGTCTTATTCGCCATGTGGATCGCCTCTAGGGCAGGAATCGAACTCACAGTGAAGCGGCTGCGCCAGCTTGCAGTGCTGTGTCTAAACACGTTGCGCCCCCAGAGACAACCCATTATAGAATTTTAATGGATTTTTCTGTGCTTTTACATATAAGCATAGAAAAAATGCCTATAAAAACAAAAATGAAAAAATGTTTTCTGATTGAAAGACCTGTTGTTTTGGGCCCTCCCTAGTGGCGCAAGGGATTAAGTCTCAGCACTAAAGCTGTCCACAGTCACTACAGCACATGTTCAGTCCCCAGCCAGAGAGCTGAGCCACCCAGCTCATCAAACCTCTCCTGTCTCCCCTGCTGCAGCAGGGTATCTCAGTCCATCTGCCTGTTCTGCTCCCCCTCTGTTTCTGGTGAACCCTGCACTTCTGGACTGTACCCCAATTCTTGTATGCATAAATACATTTTGAAAGAAAGAAAGATCGTTTGTTTTGTTTGTTTGGCTTCAGACAGTCTTGCCTTCTTTAGCTGTTGGCAATTATTTGACCACCACCGCTTTGTTTTTGCCCCCCACTTCGAGAGACTGCCCCTGGATTGACCACCCATTGAGGCACTAGGTGGACACTGCTCACTGCAGTCAGAGTAGCATTTCTGCATGTCAACCCACAGTTGAGCCTTTCAAAGTTATATATATTAAATTGTGTTTACCTGCACAGTTTGAGAAATCAAAAGGTTCAGAAGTGATTCTCCCTCTTATTTTAAAAAGATTTATTTTTCTTTATGCACTCACGAGCTGGGGTGAAGGCTAGAGGTGTGGGGCCGTGAGGGGAGTCACCAGAGACTGTGGGGAGTAGCACAAACAGATCTACTGCTGAGGGGAGCAGCCAGGCAAGAGGTCTGTTATGCCATTGTGGGTCAGCTTCCTGGCTGGGGATAGAACTCAGGCCTTAGCAGTGGTAGAGCTGGGATTTAACTAGGACACAAGACACAAGACACGCCCGGTCTGCTCAGTTTTTCAAGTGACTGTGAAAACCAGCTGGTTTTCTGCATGCCTTTTTTTTTTTTTTTTTTCCTAATTAAAAGTTTGCCATTTTGCCTGAGATCATCTCTGGTTTTATAGAATCTTCAGAGTAATCACTAATATATTCTAATTTGACAAATTATTGACATCTAAGGTGCTTTTATTTGCCAGATGTACCAAAAATTGTGTCGAGGTTAGCCTCTATAAAGATTCTCAGGGAAGAGAGACCCAAAACTGGGTGAGAATCCAAATGTGGAAGATTGGTGAGGTGCAGTGTGCATTTTGGTGCAAGCCACATTGATGTCTAGAAGTAGAGCATAGAGTCATGAAGACAGTGTCATTCTACTTACTCAGAATAAATGGGTAATTTAAAGCTTCTCTGGGAGCCAAGACACCTTGCCCTGACTCTCCTGTTGACTAGCTTTGTATCTGTCCCTCCCTCATAGTGGTATTTTCTCAACCAGTATATCTGGGCACTAGTTAGTTTTTTGTGAGTTTTAAGTTGCTTGTATCAAAACTTGGACTATATCCTCTACTCTTTTCTCTCCCCTAGAGTATGCTCAAGTCATCAAAATGTTGGGAAATGGACGATTAGAAGCGATGTGCTTTGATGGTGTAAAGAGGTTATGTCATATCAGGGGAAAATTGAGAAAAAAGGTAGGTGTTTTACTTTAAAATTGTCATAAGGGGGGACGTGACTTTACAGTTACAGTAGTTTCCAAAAGATCAGTGGAAGAGTGATTTGCCTATAGTAACTTTAAAAAAAATTCTTGATGGTAATTTTTATACAGATTCTGTTTTAAAATACATTTGTCTTACCTGTATTGTATTCCTGCCAAAAAAAACTTAGCCTGTATCTAATCATGAGCAAACAGTCAAATCAAAATTGAGAGACATTCTGTAAAACTAAAGACCTGATTCTTACTAAAATGTTGTCGTTCTGGAAGAAAAAAGCAGGAGGCAGGCTGGCTATTCTGTTTTAAAAAGCAGTCACAGAGGCTTAATAGTTAATGCCTTGGGTTGCCCTTGTTTGGATTCTGGTTTGCGGGTAGGGAAAGTAGCTATCAAAGGGTTCCTAGAGTTTTTTTAAATTATTTACATAAGTGTTGTATTAATATTAAATTTCCTGAATTGTGGTCATGAACGGGTTGCCTGGGAAAGCAACGACAATTTCCTGTTACAGTAGGTGTTCAGGCAGATTAATTGGTCAAGTTGGTTACAAGTTCTTGTAATTCTGGTTTCTGGGTAGGGGTGTGTGTGTTTGTTTTTAATTTGATTTGTTAATCCTGTTAACTAGCTAAAGGGGTTTTGCTCTCTGAGTATATGTGGGTAAAGGAAAGGAAGAGAGGGAGGGAGCTAAAATCACAGAACTAATTTTCTATTTTCATGTGGATGGATAGATAACTAATCACTTAGAGTTGTTTCACAATTAAAAATCACTTAAATTCTAAACCATTCCACTGGAGTTATTATGGAGCTGTCAAATAGTTAAACAAGATTGATTCTTTTTTAGCATCCCATATTACGGAAAATTAGAAGTAGGCTCAGCTCTTTACTAAGGTCTTTTCCTCTAGTTCTAAATACAGGTACTTCACCCACAGTTGTGTAAATACTATGTGTGTTTTAAGGGGAAATTGACCCAATGTTGCTTTTGATTATTTATAACACATAATTATTTTTCTTTTAAGGTTTGGATAAATACTTCAGACATTATATTGGTTGGTCTCCGAGACTACCAGGTAAAAAAAAAGTAAAATAAAATTTTTTTTTTTTTTTTTTAAAGATTTATTTATTTGTACATACAG